AGCACATCTTTGTTTCTCAGATGTGATTTTCATTACTCCTTTATCTTCTTGAGTTTTTTTGATTATATCTTTCTTAGCTAAGATTGTATCTACTGTAGACCTGTTGAAGCCATATTGCCTAGGAACATCAGACATCATCTGCTCACTGTCTACCTTGGCTATTATCTCTTGCTTAGTTTATGTAGTGAGCACAGTTCTTGACTCCACTCTTTTTATGCTCCATAATATTATCACTGTTTTAAAGTAAAAAGTTCAGAAAAGCACTTACAAAAATTTACTGAACAGAAATCAATTAGTGCAAAAAAAGGTTATGTATACAACTGTGAAAGTCTTGTTCTGTAACCATTAACCATTCTTAGATTCTGGTAAAATATATTTTTACAAATCTTAAATGCAGCGTCACTTCTTGTGTTTGTTGTCCAAACAAATATCTTTCATGAAAGTGTTCATTGTCCAATTTGTTCGCAGTCCAAGCTGTTTGTTAAACTTTTTCTAAATCTTAATTTGGCTATTCAATAGTTTTCCACTTAGAAAATTATTTCTTAAAAATCTATGAAACAATTATAGTAAAAAAATCTAAAACTAATGTATTCTAATTGCATTGTTGATTTAAAAATAAAACATTAAGTTTGCATGATACCTAACATATACAACAAAATCTGCTTACTGTGTATGCCATCTTACAAGTTGACATTTTACGTCTGGAAAAAAATCTCTTACAAAACTTGAAGTTAACTAAACATATATTTATACAAAATTAGTTTACTAATACAGGATGTCTACCAATACAGTAATACCCCGAACTTATGCGATGGGTGGGACCGAGCAGTAACTGCATAAGTCGAATTCGCGTAAGTCGGGGTATAATTTCGCATATAGATACATACAAATAATTTTTAATTGGGGCCGGAGACTAAAGAAAACAATAATTTAGAAAAAAATGTTTAATAAAATCTTAGATAATACATATGTATAACAAATTAGGCCTATATTATTTTACAATTTTTCATATTTACTTGATTATTATGCCATAATTTTAACATTGTTTCCATCTCAGCGATAATGCTGTGACGTTTACGAATGATGCTTGAATTTAAAGATTGAGCATTTTTCACAGCTTCGAGAATTTTTTATTTGTCTTTTATAATTGTTCTGACCGACAATTCCGGTAGATCAAACTTCTTTGCCAGTTCACAAATTTTCATTTTTGTATCGAAGTCTTTAATAATGGGTACATTCGTAAAGTCAAACGAGTTAAACGCGTTAGACTTTTCGAACGATTTGTTACTAACGAAATAGGAATAACGATGACGTCATTGTCATTTAACTTGTTTGACTTTACGAACATACCCAATGTTAACTTTACATTCCAAAGATAAAGTTTTTCTTTTCTTGTTTGATGCAGAAGAATTAGTTCTACTTTGTTTGGATGATATAGTAGAGTATATCAAGTCTCCGTAGATATAACAAACACAGAAATAAATAACACAAAATAAATTGTAGCTATGTGTGGATTCCGCGTGACACATCCGATCATGTAAGCTGAACAATAGTGTGGGGAGAGTCAGTAATTAAGGGTTGCGTGGCGCTCAAACAAAAGACGAATCGATGAGATTTGAAAATCGCGTAACTCCGGGTTTGCGTAAGTCGGGGTATTACTGTACTTAAATTTCAAAATGCTAAGAATGGTATTTAATACTTAGTCTACTTAATTCTGAGTAGAAATATTTGAAAAAAGATTAGCTAAATGTTTTGTATTTGTAATCAATAGAAAACAATCATAATGGCCTTACTAAAAGAGAAGTGTATATGTTTACTCAAATATGTGAGGACAGATTGAAAAGTTTCTGGAATTACCACTAGGGGATGTTTTCTTTTGAAATGTTTTTCCCTGTGTTGTATTAGCAATCTTTTATATTTATCAACTTCAAATTTCACACTGATCTGATGAATAGTTAGGTTTTTACAAGCATTAAAATTAGATACCCTGTATTCCTGTTAGTACATACATGGAGAAAAACAAAATTTGAGCTATTATCAAATTTTTCCATTTGGAGGAAAAAACTGCAGTGGAAATCAAATCCATGTTGACAATGTTCTTGGCAATTCATCATCTTCATTTTCTACGGTAAGTTGTTGGGTTTTTGAATTCAAGTCTGAGTGCACACATACAAGTGATGAACCACAGTCTGCTACTTCCAGGAATTGTGGATAAAATCCATGACATAGTGTTAGAATATTGCCAAATCAAAGTGTGTGAAATTGAGAAAGCTGTGATCATTTCATATGAATGAGTAGTTCATATTTTGCATAACAAATTGGGTTTAAAGAAGTCTGCAAGACTTCCCACATTTGCTCAGTCTGGAGCAAACACGCATTCAAGCCTGAATTTCTGTCGAGAGTTTAGAGTTGTTAGAGAGAAATCCAACTGATTTCAAATGACAATTTGTGACAATGAATAAGACTTGGATTCACAATTACACATCAAAAACAAAAATTCAATCAAAATAGTGAATTGGAGATTGGAGTAGATTCCAAAGTAGGCAAAGACTATTCATTTGACTGAAAAGGTTATGACATCAGCTTTTCAGGATGCCAAAGGAATGTTGTTAATTGACTATTTTGAAAAATGAAAAACTTGCTGGCCAATACAATGCAACACTTGTGGACAAGCTCAAAGCCGTGATCCAGGAAAAATGCCTGGGTATGATAGTGTTTCATCATGACAATGCACCCACTCATTCAAGTGCAGTTGTTCAGCAAAAAACTAGTAGAAATTAAGTTTGAAATTTTGCCAGATTAGCTCTTTCAGATTTCTACCTGTTTCTGAAACTCAAAACATTCCTAGGTGGAAAGAGATTTTAGTTCAATGAAGATGTGATTGAGGCTATAAACAGCTATTGTGGGTGCTTGGAGAAAATCACTTCTGGGATAGAATTGAAAAGTTGGAGAAATGTTGGATCAAGTGTGTTAAGGTTCAAGATTATGTTGAAAAATAAAGCATAACTTGGAAATCATTTATTTTGTTTTCATTGTCATTTCAGAAACTTTTCAATCCATCTTTGTAAGAGAAACTTTTTTCCAGGTTTTAGCACTTCCAAAAACAGGATCAGTCTTAAATGTAATGTGCCAACTATTATTTGGTATGTGTGCACTATTTTATGTAGATCTTTTAAAATAATAATATTTGTGTTGTTTCTGATAGGCTGCCTTAAAGATATTTGATTTCTGTCAGGTTACTTCAGCACTTGTTTGGAAGTGCTGTTTGCATCTCAATGAGCTGGCTACCCGTAATTCTCTCTCTTGTGGGTACCAGATATCACTGACAATGCAATGCTGATTTCTTGGCCAGAGACCTTAATATTCCTTTGTAGGCTTATTGGAGAAAAAATGATTGAAAAAAACAGAGATCTTTATCTGTGCTTTGTGGACTATGAAAAGGCGTTTGACAATGTTAACCACACAATTTTATTTGAAATACTTCAAAAAATTGGAATAGATAAAGGGATAATTAAAATTATTCTCTTTTTATACAAAAATCAGAAAGCAATAATAAAAATTGATGAGAAAGAATCCAACTGGATAAGGGTGGAAAAAGGAGTGAGACAGGGATGCGGACTTTCACCACTGTTATTTAATATTTACAGTGAGTGGATGATGCGAGAAGCACTTGAGGATTTTAACGAAGGAGTGAAAATCAATGGATGCTTAATAAACAACATAAGATACGCTGACGACATAGTCCTGCTGAGTGAAAGTAAAGAGGGATTACAGAAAATTCTGAATCGACTGTTCAAAACTGGATTGGAGAAATTCCATATGAAAATAAATGAAAAGAAGACAAAAGTAATGAAGGTTTCAAAGAAGGAAGATATGGAGGAA